AGAGACGGGAGAAGCCCGAAAGGCCTCAGATGATAGAACGGAACCACTCGGTGAGAGGAAGACGGAGCGAGAAAGAGAACGGTTTTACACGCGTCGCGTTCGCGTTCAGTCTGCTTGCGGCGTTCGTGCCAGGCGTCGTGTTCCGTTTGCTTGTTTTCCAGCTTTTGTCATTCAATTCCCGCATCTATGACCCGGTCGTTGCCAATTTGAACGAGAATGAACGACACGCGAGCGGGACGCGACCTCCGACACGATTTTTCTCCGTGAGGGACTCGTTGACTCGTTGACTCGCGGAACCGCGTGATCCTTCAAATCGCGCGACACTGTGACAATTAGGTAAGAGAACTTAGGTTAGTTTTTTCTTGCAACCATTCGCGTTCCATTTCATCCACTGTTCTATCTCCTTTTAGTTGAAACATTCTACATATTCTGACATATCGTTTTGAGAGAAATAACTGGAGAGAAATTTTCTTTCGTCGTGGCAGCCTTTGTAACGCACAATATTTGGAATTCCACAAAATATTTCGACGTACAGTGTTAGAACGTTTCCTACCATTAATGAAAGTTTGATATTTCACGGCAGTATAAAATGTCTTGAAAAGAATGAAGAAGTAGTACTGGATAGAACATTTTTGATTGATAAATCCCAATGTTTATTTGAAAGTGAATGATAATTAAGTTGTATTAGAAAGAAGATAGATATAAAAATATTTAGTGCAGTGAACGACGTTGTTATGTTATTTGGATTTGGTCTTTGGAAAACATGAGTTTTACTGCACGATTAAATTAAGTTGCCTTCGAGTTCAGAAAAAAAATGTAGACTATTTCTCTTTTGCTCTTAATATCCCATCGAGAATGAATCAGATTCGAAGAGGATATGTTTACTTTCAGTCTCTCGGATCGGATAATGGATGCTAGTGAAAGTTATTGCAACACGTCAAAAATCTCGTCCAATTAATTCACCGAAATAGAATTTTAAAGCCATTTTGTTTCAGCGACTGTTTCCTATCCAAGAAAGATCTCGAGAGAACACGGCAATCTCCGCGTGCGCGAAATCGTAGAAATTTTTAATATTCTTAAATATAATTGGATCTTTCTTCCACCTTAACCCATTCGCGCGGCAGTCATCATGTATATTTTGTGGCAATGCAGTGTAGGAATGATTCAAAAAAACACTGAAAAGCTGACTAGATGATTGATACAGTGGTAAGATAGTAAGGAGAAAAATGAAAAATATATCACTATTTATTAATAATAAATTTTCCAAGAAAAACTTTAGTGAAAAAAAG